AAAACCTTCTCCACTGATGCCTACCATGTCACAGATCCTCACCAATCCATTTGATTCAAAAACAGTTGTTAACACTGCAAAATAATGCCCACTAATTAGAAATGTCATCTTTAGTGTTTGTTATGAAACACTCTGCCTTACCAGAATCTGTCTCTTCCATAGCCTTTCTTCATCTGTTATCAAAAACAGGGGTGTTCTGTCTTACGGCTGATTAGCCTAACAGATCACTTCAGAATTTCACTACCTATATCTCACTTTTTTGTGGTTGCAATCCCATCACCAACCACCTAATCTGTAGTTTTGCCTGAAGGTCTCTGGTAATAGACATATAATCCATGGACAACTCCCCTTGATTTTTTTTTTTTTTAAGATCTTGATTAGGTGGGTCTTGTCAAATGCTCCATGGATTCATTTTCTGCCAGCTTCAGCATATTTCCACAAAGATCTGAAACTATTTATAAACTGCTTTACTTCCTGGAAAGTTTTTGCTACTCCAAGGAAACTTCTAAAGTTTTAGAGCATCACTTTGGAACTGGTCACTTTGGCACTGATCCCATTTTTTTCATTCTGGGGGAAACTGTTTCAAAAACTCATTATTTAAATAATCCTAACTAAATTGCTTATTTTATTTTGTGATATTGTACCTCCCCCACAAAACTATAAACTCTTAGAAGGCAAGAAATATGCCTGCCATTTGTTTGTTCAGTTTATCTTTATAATCACTCCTCCCAGTGCCTACCACAACTCCCATGCACACAGTGGGGGTACAACGGCATTGTGGTAATGAGTGCTGAATTAGGTAATTCAATATTTAATGCTGTTTTCAGGGGCCAACATTTCTGTCTCTACAGACAAATGAACATGGAGATGTTAAAATAGCTTGAGCTTTGCAATACAAACTGACACTTGTCTCCTAGCTAAGAAATGTAAAAATGTAGAGCTGGGGAAGGAATTATATCATTTGCTATCTAGAACACAGGCTAGTATCTCTGGCTTGTCAGTGAACAGTTATACATCTCAAGGAGCTCGGTATTCTTGCCCTTGAAATCACCAGTGAATGTGTACAAAAAACCTTGCGTTTTCATTTTTTTTTTTCAGATGCATTATGGCATCAGATGTTTCTTTAGGTGTATCTTATTTTTACTTTAGGCCATTACTTCCCACAGTAGTGTTTGTAATATATGCATGCTAGAATAAGTTAAAAGCTGTTATCGCTTATTAGCTATCATTTTTGGTGTACATTTAAACTTTTTTAGTTTCAGTATTTATTTCATATAATTTTATCCTTGTTAGAGCAACCCATGCATCAGCATTGAATATAGTTTTGCCTGCAAAACTGTAGCTTCTTTTTTATTGCCATTAAAATACAAATGAATCGGGCACCTGGGTGGCTCGGATGGTTAAGTGTCTGCCTTCAGCTCAGGTCATGATCCCAGGGTCCTGGGATCAAGCTCTGCATCGGGCTCCCTGCTCAGCAGGGAGCCTGCTTCTCCCTCTCCCTCTACTGTTTCCCCTGCTCGTGCTCTCTCGCTCTGTCAAATAAATAAATAAAATCTTTAAAAAAATAAAATACAAATAAATCATTAGCCTTAGTGGATATTAAACAAGTTAGATCAGTTTTTACCAAATTATAATAGTTACTTTCAACAGTTAAAAGGGGTTTGGAAGACTCTATGACTTAGGTTGGATCCTAATTTTGAAGAGTAACATTTAGGACATGCTTTGGCTCTCTTAGGCAACATTAACTGTAAATATATATTCATATATAAATATGTATACTTTTATATGTATACACACATCAATATTTATGTTCAATATTTTTTAGATAAGCTCATATAAAGAGTGTCTTTCTCGCTTGTGTCCCAATCAGATCCAATTCCTTTTAATTTAAAAACAATATAGGAGCGCCTGGCTGGCTTATTCAGTGGAGTGTGTGACTCTTGGTCTCAGGGTTTTGAGTTCAAGCCCCATGTTGGGCATGGGGCCTACTTTAAAAAAACAAAACATAAAAACAATGGAGAGCAAATTGCTTAGGGAAACAAAAAACATCTGTTGATCACTTACTACATACCAATATCCTCTGTGATTCTCTCCTAACAACCATGCCAGATAGCTATTATTCGTATTTTATAAATGAAGATACTGTTATTTTCTCTAGCTCTTATAGCTAGCAAACAAAAGAGCAAAAACTGCCTGATTGCTAAGCCAGTACTCTTTGCACTACACCAGATTCCTAGAGGACCCAACTGAGAATCACACCCAAGGCAGCTGTTTGTACAAAACTCTCTGACTCTACAGAGTATTTGCAGATATTTATTTGTGAGATAGTTTCTTAGAATAAAACTCATCTTTCCCATAAATATAATATTAATGTTTCTGTCACCAGCTAGTTTACAGAGCCTGTTTTACATAAAATGTGTTTAAATAACTTACCCTTTAGGATTTTTTTTTGGTTTGTTTAAGATTTATTTATTTGAGAGAGAGATAGAGAGAGAAAGCGCAGTGGGGAGGGGCAAAAGGAGAGGGGAAGAGAGTCTCAAACAGACTCTGAGCACCGAGCCAGACATGGGGCTCAATCTCACAACCCTGAGACTGCAACCTAAGCCGAAACCAAGAGTCAGACGCTTAACCGACTGTGCCAGCCAGGCGCCCCTAGGATTTTTTATTTATTTATTTTTTTTAAAGATTTTATTTATTTATTTGAGAGAGAGAGAATGAGAGAGAGCAAGCACATGAGAGGGGGG